GGAACACATTATTCTTAGTGAAGCATCACAGGAATGGAGAAGAAAGAATCCTATGTATTCAACTTTGATATAAAGACAATTAATGACACGGTGGGGCATGGGGGAAGGGGATACTGGACAGAGAAGGAGGGAGGGGATGTGGGCATGGGAAAAAAATAAGAAAGAAATTAGTGACTAATTCTTATATAAATTGTATTTAATCTGGACCAAAGTACATTACTTAAACATGAACTTTTAATTCAACATGTTAATATGCTGTTTATCATATTGCATCCTCATTTAAAGTGAAATATGTTTGTAATTTCCCCTTTATAATAATATATTTTCTCCAATTTTAATATCAGGTGTATCCAGATTAAGTAGAATAATTTTGAAGTATTTCTTTTTTTATTGTCTATAAGATTTGACATGATCTTTTTTTTTTTTAATTATCTGTTACTTTCATTTATAAATATTAGTTGTGTACTCTTTTTGGAACTTTGGGAAAAAAATAAGAAGAAGAAAAAAAAAGCAGACAGGAAGAAAATGTATTCATTACAAAAATGCCAGATTATAGAAAATCAGCATCTTGTAGTCTTGAGTGTAATAATGGATTCAGTCAAGGACCATCAGTGGAGTTTAAAATCAGTCAGTAAAAGGTTGTTGGGGAACAGGATACTCATACAGTGGTAACGACTCATCCCAGATTACCTACTGATCCCAGTGGAGAGATACAGTGTTTACCACCTTAACTAGTGACTAAACTTAGCATCATTAATAGGAGGACAAACTTACCATATGGGTCTCTTGATATGATATGTTGTCTATGATGTATTCTTACAAAAAAATTCATGTGAATTTACCCAAATCATTTAACCTGACTCTCAGTTTACCAGAAATAAAGAGAATAGAGAAATAAATTTAATGACATTATGAAGAATAAGACCAGTCTATAAGTTATAAGAAAACACGTATTGGCTTATGCCTGCCATCCTAACACTCTGGGCAGCCAAAGCAGGAGGATTGCTTGAGCTCAGGAGTTCAAGACCAGCCTGAATAAGAGCAAGACCTCCTCTCTACTAAAAATAGAAAAATTAGCTAGACATGGTGGTATGTACCTGTAGTCCCAGATACTAGGGAGGCTGAGGCAGGAGGATCATTTCAGCCCAGGAGTTTGAGGCTGCAATGAACTATGATGATGCCACTGCACTCTAGGCTGAGCTACAGATGGAGACTCTGTCTCAAAAACACAAAACAAAACAACCCCCCCCCCAAATGAAACTGGTGTGGATTCCTCCAAAAAATTCAAGACAAGACAGATCCAGAATGTGAGACATCCTACAACACAATTGGCTTACCTCTTTAAAAACGTTGAATGTCATGAAAAGTATTTTTTTAATGCAGTAGTACTATTCTATATTAGAAGAGGCAAAGGAAACAATATGAACAAATACAGTTTGTTAATCCAGGTTGGTAGGAGGGGAGTGATAGGAGACATTTTTCTGAGCACCTGAGAAAATTTGAATATGGACTCTATATTGGATATTATTGAAATAATGTTAATTTTATTATGTGTGCTAATGGCAGAGAATGTCTTCGTTCCTAGGAGATTTGAGTGAAAATATTTAGGAGTGTTATGAGATCCACAATTACTTTCAAATGTTTTAGCAAAAACTGAGACAGAGGGAGAAAAAGTAAATGTGGCAAATTGTTGCATCTAAGTGAAAGGTATAGATGTTAAAAATCTTAATCATAGAGGGGCAGAGGTAGATGGAGAACCAGAAAGATCGTTAGGCCAAACTCTCCTAGTACAACTGAGGAACGGAAGAAAAGCAGGCTGTGCTTGGAGTGGAGGCCTTCCCTGCAGCCGTGGCTTGGTGTGTGCAGTAAGGTGGTAAAATACTGGATATAGTGCATGAACCAGAGCGGTGGAGTTCTGACACACTAGGCAAGTTTTCCTGAGCCGGTGGCAGCAACCACCTCCGCCACAGAGGTCCAGCATGGGAGGAAGCCTTCTTGCAGTTTTCAGTTCTTGGGGGAAGCTGCTGCTGTTGAGTGGAAAGCCTAGAAGAGTGAGCACACCTGAACAGTGTACAGCAGCCAGACTTCAGGCTAGTTGGAGTGGATTTGCCACTGGTTTGGTGGTGGTAGAGATGGCTATACTGGAAAGGTCTTGGAAGCCAGAGGGTAGCCATTGTGGGAAGGTCACAAAAAGGTCATGATACAGGACTTCGACAGGGACACAGCTTTCTTAGCCTGCTGGGATCGGACCTCTAATCATGACAGGCTCAGGGTCTTCCATATCCCATGAGAATTGTCTGGGAGCACAGTGAGACCTGTGTATGAAGGATTCTAGAGTCTCTTTATTTAATTTAGTCTTTGATTTAAGGACATTATGAATCTTGTAGCTGAATGTTTACTTCTTTGCTTTGTCCACTAGGAAGCTCAGAAACAAACTGGTAAGCTCATGTTATGTACTTTGGGGGACCAGTAGTACCTCTGTTATACCTTATTTTTCCTACCCGCCTTTCTCCTTATCCATTTTTCTTCATCTATTTTATCTGAAGCTATGGTATTTATCTTTTTAGGATGCTTTAAATCTTTCTTGAATTACTAAGTGCTTAACTACATGAATAAACAAAGTGATGGAAAGGCAAATAGACAGAAAATTTACAAAGAATGAAAATGCAGGTCTTGCCTGCTGACTCATTATTACAGATCAAAGATCTTTGGTTTTACTCAGAAAGTGGTGAAACCAGCAATAGAAATGAGAAATGAAGAGAAAGAGAATCACTTATAGATGACGAGTTAGGTTTTAGAAAAGTTGGTCTGGTAGTTAGATATTGAGGAGGATAGTTCCTAGGCCACTGGAGTATATTTCTGAACTTGAGTCAAAAATCCAGGTTGGTAATGTTGATTTGGAAGCTACCAACATTTAACTAACAGCAGAAGCTAAGAAGAAGAGTAAAACATTCCCTAGTAAGATGCAGAGATGGAAAAGCAAAGTATAAGAGTTGTGGATAAAGCTAGAATTAGGGATTTAGAGAAGAAATAAAAAGAAAATTAGTGAAAGAAATAGAGAAAAGAATCAAACTAATATTGCCATAGATGGTTTATAAAAAGAGCATAATTCCAAAAAATATCAATAATATTTAAAAGAGAAAGAAAATGACAAAATAATTAAAAAATAAAATAAGAAAATGACAAAATAATTGAGAGGAAGAAGGTCCTGATCTAAGGAACCTCTGTATAGCTCTTTCTGGAGTATGCTAGTTACCAAATCATACTTTGAGACCACGTCTTTGAATATTTATTAGCTTGTTTCACAAAGCAAATATGTCTTTAGTATTCTAATATCATATTGCAATCTAATATTATAATAATTGAGACAAGAATCATAATGTCTCCATTATTATGATCACATGAGTAGAATCTAGAATCTAAATTTTAATTACCAGAAAATCCCAATGCTAGATTTAAAAACGTGTGAAAGAAAGTGAATGAAATCTATTTACATGGGACCATGACACCACTGACTTCCACCTTTAAGAAGCTCCATTTCAGCAGAAGGCTTACCTTCTCTGTGGTGATGTACGAGTAGGTCTGATCGAACTTGTTTGCCATAGTGGCGTGTTCTGGATCACACAATGGCAGGTCCCCCACCTGGATATTCTGCTTCATGTTACTCCACTGTGCAGGGATGTCAACTGCAAAGGAGGCATTTTGAGGACACCATCGCATGTTCCCAGTATGCATTGAAAAAGTGAATATCATTTGTGTGTTTGTTTTACAGTCTCCTATTCTAAGTTCTCAAGAACTTCCTTATTTTTTTAGTAGAGTACCCTGTGTGTCTGTTTTCTGGAATTTCACTAAAGATTCTGACACACTTCCTTTGGAGGCATATTGAACCCTGGGTCATCTCTACTCGAACAGAGCCTCTCCAAGACACATTGTAAGGAACCTGTCCAAAGTTAAGGCAAAAGAGATAATTCTGTAAGTAACCAGGAATAAGTGCCAATTGACCTATAAGGCAGAAGCATTAGGGTGATATCAGACTTTTCAGCTGAAACTATCCAAGCTAAAAGAGAATAGTCATTCACCTTTAACCTTCTTTAACAAAATAATTTTCAACCCAGAATTCTGTATCCTGCTAAATTAAGCTTCAAAATTGATGGGGAAATCAAATCTTTTGCTGACATATAAACATTGAGGAAATTGGCCACAATAAGACCCAGCTCTACTTAGACCTATCCTCAACACTGTCCATCCCAGTGGACCCCAACAAAGTAAACACAGAAAAAAAGGTTAAGACTTAGCTTCCACAATGGTGCAAAGGAAAAAACAATGCAACAGAGTTTCACAAAATAAGATGAATACAACTCCACCACACTTAGCAATTCTCTCAATAAATGAAAAGGGCTTGAACTCCCCACTGAAGGCTAATAGGAGTTTGGAGGATTTATTGGAGTTAAGAATTTGGAGGATGGGTGGTGGGAGGGTGATTGGTGGGATGACGCCTATGGTTCTTCTTACAAGGGTACATGTGAATCTTTCTAAACGTAGAATATAAATGTCTTAACATAATAACTAAGAAAATGACATGAAGGTCATGTTAACCAGTTTGATGAAAATATTTCAAATTGTATATAAAAACAGCACACTGTACCCCATGACTGCATTAATGTACACAGGTATGATTTAATAAAAAAAAAGTTTCAAAAATGAGTTTAGAGTATTTAACTCTTTCAACAGGTGTTACTACAAAGCACAGGAACAGTGATGTTTGTGACTCTACACCAAAAATCTTCAATGCTCTTTGTCAACCAGGATTGTTTTTTTTTTCTTTCTGATTCAAAAACTCTAATAACCTGACCGATTAATAATAGGTTTTACACAATTCTGGCATCTACTATAACCTGGGGCACATCCGACAGTTCCTCTCTGACAGTGCTACCTACTTATCTTTCAATCATTAAGGAAGCACCCCTGTAACAGATAACAGCATTTCCAGGTGAGGCAACTGCAAATCACCTGATTTCCTTTAAAGCAATCATGTAATTCCCATTATATCACATCTTCCAAAAACACCTTTTCCATGGCAACATTACAGATAATGTAGATGGTTTTGTCACAGTGAAGCATTAGGTAAGTGGATATGTGCTGAGCACCAGGACGTGCTCCAAAATGCATCTCTATCATCTTCTTTCCTCTCCAAGGCTCTGCCTCCTTGGATGCCAGCTGTGGCTTCAGGCCAAGGAATGAGAAGTCTGTGTTGCTTTCCTTTGATTCAAAAAAATTTTCATGATCTCCACAATATTGGTTGCCATTAAATATCTGAGGTGGCAGAAGGTTGCCCTCAACAGGCTTCTTTTCTGGAGGGATGTTTTTGTACATCGATTGACTCTGTTCTCTTGACATTGTGATGTCCACCTCCTCAAAGTTTATCTTGTTAGCTTCCAGAAATCTAACCACATCCTGCTGCTGTGGCACAAGGAAGAGGCAAGAGGCAAGAACACACAGATGACCATCCACCTCACACCTCGTAACTGACCCTTTGCCCCTGGGCTCCAGGCTGGTGCAGACTTAGTGGGTGAACTTGGCTTAAGGCAGAACATGCTGGGCACAGCACTGGCATCAGGAAATAGCGCCAGGAACAGGAGGATGGTTTTCAAAGTATAAACAACAGACAAACCAAATCTTACAATTATATAACATAAATGTCTTAACATAATAATTTAGTAAATGAAGTGAAAGCTATATTAATGGTTTGATGTAAGCACTCTAAATTGTATAAAAAAAAAAACAACATTGTACCCCACAATGCATAAATGTATTCATGATCTATGTGTATATAACTCAATAAAATATATAAATAAATAAGTATAAACAATAGACAATCTACATCAGAACCAACCAGAATGTTTGTTTTAAAAAAAAAAAGCCCCAGACATACTGAATTAGAATCTCTGGGAGTAGGGGGGAGACTGTGTGTTTGCATCTTAAGTTACAATCATGCTAAGATTTGATAACTATTGGTGCAGCAGAACATGTCTGTATTTTCTGTTCAGCCTCTAATCTGTCACAATTAACAATAAATTATTTCCTGACAGTGTTTTCAATAGTTGCCATTGTTCTGGTCATACTGGGTTTTTGCCAGGACTCCCCCCCATCAACACAGCAAGGTACTCCACATCTACTTTTTCATTCTTCTTCACAGAGTCCTTAGGAGGTGATTGGATGGTAGGTTTTGCTGTATGACAGATTGTGGTGGCAGCTGTGTCCTCCTCTGCTAAGCAGAATACTATGCATGATTTGTCAATTCTCCAGGGTTGCTCAGCTCAGGAATTCATTGACACTGATCTCACAAGAGAGGAATATGGTGTACAGGGACCAATTAATTCGTTTTCAAAAGGGGACTTGTGGTTTGAAGGTAGGCATGGCTGTCTACATAAGACAGTCATTCCCTTCCTAGGGAGCAGATCCCTAGAGAATCCCAAGCCTGCTTCCTGCTGTGCATGTCAAGGAACCTTCTGCTCAGGGCACAGGTGGCTTCTGGGAGAAGTTCCTACAGACTCCTGACCCTCCCTGGCTTATCAGTTACAGACAGAGAGGGAGCTCACTGATCAGGCTGTCTTCTCCGTTTTCCCCATTGTTCTAGAAAACTTTGGGCTGCTTCTCTTTTCAGCCTATGGTTCTACCTCTCCTGACTGATGCAGCCATTACCTCCCCTGCTGAACTAGTTCTGGGAAGTTATTAATAGTAGAAACTAGTTTACTGGGAAGCTAGGAAACTGTAAAAAATGGGGGGAAATGCATGGTTTGGCTATTGCTACCATTAGGTTCGTCATCCTCAGGTTGTTGGGGTGTGTCCACGATGTGTTTTCCCAGCCATAATGCAAGCTCTTTAAGCTCAGAGACCATGTTTTCTGGTTATTCCATTAGCGTTAATTGGATTTTTTTTCTATTTAAAATGTGGGTGTTTGTACAAAATAATGGTTAACCACATAGTAGGTGGAAAGTAACAGATGACAGGTAGGAAAGTTTAACTTACCTTCAGATTTTGTCAGGCGCTGAATTGAAAAAGTGTCTCCACTTGCATCTGTGGCAGTGTATGTGTTCAAGTTCACTGTGCAGCTCTTATTCTTAATTGTGACGACAATTGTTTGTCTCTTTGCTCTCTTTGCATCCTCCAATTGCAGGTTGGTCATTTTGTCAAAAGGATGAAAATTGTTGCTGTCATTATATTGCCATTCTATAAATTCACTAGTACAATCTGCCCGGGACTCCGGTTCTTTGTCCAGTCGAACTCTCTTGATCATTTTCTCAATCTCATCTCGAGCCTGTATCACATCTCTGTTAATCCCTACAACCTTAATCAAAGGTTTCTTGTGGTCCAAGGAAATGGTAATATCTAACTTCTTCTGCAGCTCGTTCAGTTTCTGAAATTCCTTTGCATTGAAGTCTTTGATGCACTCATCTTCACTGATATAGGGCAACTGTTCCTTTTGAATCAGGTCCTGTATCCAGGAGATAGTGTTTCCCACACATTCTATATTTTCACCACACACCTCAAAAATTGCTGATTTTGTTTTCTTTTCCAAAACCAAAGGAGTCTGCTCTTGGGGAGATTGCCTTGAAAAGCCCAAAAGAACTAAAGAGAAAAGAAGGATTAGATATTTCCCATGCAACACAAATGCTAGGAACATGCATTTCATAAAATTGAATAACTCACATGGATGTTCAGACATCATAGACTGCTGGGAAGAAGGCTGAGACCCTTCTCTTTTTTTCATGCTGGCATAAAACACATTTAGCATTTGAGGCTGAAAGATAACAACTTTAACTTTTTTCACAGACTGGGCTGCTCCTTTCTGGATAAAGTCTTCAATGGCGTCCAGTATGGCTTCAGCAACCTTATCTGGGTCTTGTTTGGCTTTTCCTGGAAAAGCAAATTAAAAAAATGACTGAAGAAAAACAAAAGACCCAACTAGAAAAGGCTGAGGAATAAATTAGGTGCTCACGGAATAAATGCCCATTCCCCAGTTCTTTCATCACAGTGACATTCTCTGACAACGCATCAGCAAACATCTGAAGTCCTGCAGGCACTGGGGAGTTTCTGTTCCAGGATGTCAGGAAGCCAACATCCCAGCCATGAACAAAGGACCCAGCGCCCTGGCATCGGGTGTCTGACGACCACGTGTGTTCTACCCAGCCGCTCCCAGCTTGCTGCCTTCTGCTTCCTGTTACACACCCAGGTAACTTTCCTTCTTGGCTCACTAGGGTCTTCCAAAAATCCATACAAAGCAGAAGATGCTAACATACGTTGAAATAACATGCTCTTTAAAGAGAAAACATTTGGGGGCTCAGTCATCACTTGATTTTATGTGTGTATCCCTATTCTTCCAGATATCTTTGGGAAGCTGATTAAAACTAAGCTAATTTTGTAAGATACCTGGAACCATATGTTACTTGTTATAATCTGTTAATTTATGCCACATGAGATCTCCATGAGCATCCAGGGGCCTCTCCCCCCATATGCTGTGAGATTCTAGCTGACCAGCAGGGATGCAGGTAGCCACCCTGAGCAGATCCTTTCCTGTTTGCAGCATGCTCCATATCCTGTGCCTCAAGCCGTGGAAGCCACTGCCTAGGTGAGATCGTAAAAAGTCCCTTTTAGCCATGGAAACAGTCCCCAGAGAATGGCAGCTGGCAAAGTTACAAGATGGGCAATGTAAAAGTCCCCTGGCCAGCTGGTCAGATGGACTAAGAGCCCACTTGGATGATACCACCACTGCTGTAGAAAAAAGCAGATCTCTGTCTTGGCTGGGCAGACAATTGGAGGAACGTAGACAAACCCCAATAAAATTAACCCAGAGGATTTGTTCAGTTTTTTTTTATTAGATGATGAGGGAAAGAAAGACATTCTCCTTTGAAAAACTGTGGTTTTCCCATAGTATTTGGAAGTGAATAGCCTCAATAAACTTCACCAGCCTTGTCATTTTCTGGACATTTTTCTGACACTCTGACCCATATCTTGCTTTCTGTGATTCCATACCATTCCTCATACTGTTCCTAGTGGAATTCTTGATCTACTTCACTACTTTTCTATTTCTAAAACACATTGATTCATAACGACATATTCATTCACTCTCAGTATGAATGTTGTATGTTCCATCACAGGCTAGACACTCAGCTAGGCACTTGTTAACACACAGAGAATATGATATGTACGGCTGCACAGGTGTTCTATAGGTGAACTCTGGGAAGTTAAGGAAAGGCTACACCAGCTGGAACTGTATAATGGGTATGGATGTTCAACTTGGCATGTGCAGGGGAGCAGATTCATTTTTGAGAAAGATAAACCTGGAGGGGTGTGGAGGAGACACTGGAGCAGAGAACCCAGGTCTAGTTAGGAGGCTACAATAATAACAGTTTAGGCAAAAGACAAAAGCTGAAGAATGAGACCATAAAGAGGAGGGAAAAGTCCAGAAGGAAGAATAGGGACTGAGGAGCTATTCAGGAAGTCATGTCATGACCTAGGGGCCAGCTGGGTTTATCCTTGACCCTTCCCTTGCCCCCTTTTGCCACAGATGTAGCGTCACAACATCATGGGTCAGTTTCTGTTTATGTGCCTTTTATACTAGGTGCTTCTGTGCACTGGACATTAGGCATCTTTCTTGGTCATCTTTCTATACCCAATGCCTTAAGTGGTGCCTGGCATGTGTGGGCACTCAGTAAGTATTCAACCGATTAACTACTAAGCTAATGAAGACAGGAGTGATAAAGAGGGTACAGTCGAAGGAGAAGGTGATGCTTTTCACAGGGTTGGGGATGTAAGAGGAAGAGCAGTTTGGGCAGAAGACAATGAATGGGAGTTTGGAGTCTACATTGAGCTTGAGGTGCCGGCAGGCATTGCTGACCTCTCCCCTTATGCAGATGTCTAGGAGGCACAGAGAGAATGTGTCCTTTGACTGCCAGAGCCTGCCTTGAACACAGCCCCAAGTGAACTTATAACCACCACTAGGGGAGAAAGCTTCCCCATCTGTTAGTCTCGGGACCAGCTTAGGTCCCTATAAAGACTTAATTGCGCAGGCCAGTGATGTAACTGGGTGGGTGGAACAAAGGGGAGGTTTACAGTAACCCATAAATATTCCAACGTGTACATATTTATACAAAACTGAAACTGCCTCCTTTCCCTGTTTCTTCTAGGGATTTCCTTGGACAAGTCTATGGCACCTATGGGCTGTCTGCTTTCTTGGCCCAAATCAACTAAAGGTGGAAACACAAGACTAGAGCTCAGAGAAAAAAGCAGATGGAGACAGACGGGGCAATCAATTGTGGGTTTCCATAAAACATAAGGAGATACATAGATAGCTGATAAACAGATAAACAGATATAAATATTGATTAATCTTCTAGGAATAGATGCTACCATGGGGGAGTGAAACATAAAGGGATCATTATGTTCTATGCAATATGTATTATGGAATTCTATGGTGTAGAATTCCATCTAGAAACATTCTGAGGAAGGGCACAGAATTACAGAAAGCAAGACGTGGGTCAGAGGATCAGAATGCCAGAAAGTGACAAGAATGGTTCATTAGTTTATTAGTTTATTGAGGCTAAATTTTTGGAGAGACTAGAATGTCAGCCGAAGATATTCAAACTTAGATTCCTGAGTGACAGAATGACAGATCCAAGGCTGTTTTCCCACAGGGAATGGAAGTCCCACTGACTTCAGGCCTGAGAGTGCAGCCTCCTCTGACCAGCTCTAGTAAGGGAAACCAAGCAGGAATTCCTCATCAGTGCTCATGACTGATTCCTGGGGAAATAGCTCAAGAAGCACCACCTCTAATGATTCACCCAAGTGCCATCATTACATATGAAGAGTTCCTCGATCATTATAGAGTTTGAAGACAAGGAGAACTTCAAAGAGGAAAAGGTCCAAGATAAGAAAGTGTAGATTTGAGGAGATGACCTGACCATGTTCTGGTGATGGGAAACTTTTACATAGAGACGCCCTTAGGCCCACTGACATGCCGGCTACTGAGCGGAAGGCTGGAAACGCTCATCTGGGAGTCAGCTGGGGTGATGTGGAAGCTGATGCACCAGAGTTCTCCATGCAGAGGGGACAGCAGAGAAAGTTAAGGACTAGAAAATGTAGATAATACAGGGAAGTGGGGAGAAAAGGAAGGAACCCATGAAGGAGACTAAGGGATGCCCTTCCTTTTCATTTTCTTCATTTCCTTTCTTTTTATTCTCTATCTTTCTTTTCTTTCGGTCTCTCTAATATCCCAACACTGTCTTCTCTCTTCTTCATTTTTTCCTTTTGTGTAAACCATCCCCAGGCTTTACTCCTCCCCCGGGGGCTGCCCTGGGGAGATGTCACTGTCAGCTCCTGGATTAACAGTCCCAGCCCTGGCTCAGACTCAGCACTGATGGCATCAACACTCAGCACCAAACCTAAACCAAAGGGAGAGTTGGTGCCCTGGGATTTAGCCTTGACAGCCAGAAGCCACAAACCTGTCCCAATGGCAGGGAGAGAAATGGATGAATAATTCCGTTTTTCACACTCCTGCAAAACACAGGAAACCGATTTCTCAACATCATGTCCACCAACAACATGAATGATATTCTTGCACTTCAGTGATCCACCTCCAGTAATTATGTAATCATGTTTGCCTTGTAGAGCTGAGAAAAAAAAGATGCAATATTAGATGCTGAGCACCCTCTTTGTTTACTAAGAAATATGTCTGATTTGGCAAAGAAACAATTTCTGAATAAAAACCTCCTGAAATACTATCTTTGATGAAAGTTTACAGTTTAACTTTTCTTTTTTAATTGTGAGGTTACTTTTCACTTCTAATTCTCAGTGTTTGGCATTCTTTAGTTAAACATGTGATTTTAAAATTACTGTGTTGTCTTCCCGGTACCAAGACTTTCTTCAACTTCTCTTTAGCCTCCCATCCAATTACAAATTATACCAAAACATAGCACTGTGCCTTACCTTGGAGATAATATTCCATTTTCACATTTTGTCCAGCACATTCTAAAATTGCTCTGGAGACCCCTACATGAGAAAATAAAGATGACAACAAATACGAATAAAAAGTCACTATGGTACATGTGGATGAGAAAGCTTTCCTCTTTAGCTAAGTCCATTCTCTGTCATTAAAGGAATCCAACAACTTGGGCATTATTGATGACAAAGAAGAAAAATGAATGAAATAGGCTAGGCGCAGTGGTTCATGCCTGTAATTCTAGCACTGTGGGAGGCTAAAGCTGGTGGATATCTTGAGCTGAGGAGTTCAAGACCAGCCTGAGGAATAGCTGAGATACTGTCTCTACTAAAAATAGAAAAACTGAGGCCAGAGGATCACTTGAGCCCCGTGCGCAAGGATGCTGTGAGCTATCATGACATAGCACTCTAGTCAGGGCACCAGAGTGAGACTGTCTCAAAATGCAAAAAAAAAAAGAAAAAAAGAATAACAAAATAACTGTTATTGGCTTGGCACCTGTGGCTCAAGTGGCTAAGGTGCCAGCCACATACACCTAAGGTGGTGGGTTCAAATCCAGCCCGGGGCCCGCCAAACAACAATGATGTCTGCAACCAAAAATAGCCCGATGTTGTGGCGGGTGCCTGTGGCCCAGCTACTTGGGAGGCTGAGGCAGGAGACTTGCTTGAGCCCAGGAATTGGAGGTTGCTGTGATCTGTGATGCCATGGCACTCTACTCAGGGGGACAGCTTGAGGCTCTGTCTCAAAAAAATAAAAAATAAAAAATAACTGTTATTATTTATGAGAAAACTTGTCAAAATAATTTCAAAGTCTGGGTATGGTGGCTTATGCCTATAATTTTAGCATTTTCAGAGGCCAAGGTGGAAGGACCACTTGAACACAGGAGTTTGAGACCAGCTTGGGCAACATAGCAAGATCCCATTTCACAAACTAGTTTTTTAAATTAGCTGGGTATGGTGATACGTACCTATATTCCCAGCTACTTGGATGCTGAGTTAGGGGGATTACTTAAGATCAGGAATTTTAGGTTGCAGTGAGTTATGATGATATCACTGCACCACTGCACTCTAGCCTGGGTGACATAGTGAGACCCTGTCTCAAAATATAACTTGATTATTATTAACAAGCCAAAGTTATAAACACAAGTTTGCTACAGAAACACTCCTTTCATGGCATCTCCTGTGCTATTACACTCATCAAAACCATACATGTAAAGTACCTGCTTCAAAATTAAATATGCCTGATGTTGAATTTATAATCACATCTGCCTCCTCTGTGGTGATATCCCCAGAAGCCACCTGGTAGATGATGGGGCCAATCTTCATTTCATGCACTCCTGAACAAGGGCTAGAAATAGTCCCATAAAAACCTGAAACAAAACAAGTAGAGTCAATAACCAAGTCAGCAACAGCAAGAATGACTTGGGTCTCACGCTGCTCTCAATTGCCCCCTCATACATCTTCCTCTCTCGGTGACCTCTGACGTCATATGTCCCTGACCCTAAGTCCCCGTCATGATCTGTTTCAGAAAAAGAATCAGAAAATACAATGCATGTCAAACACGCACTCTGGTGCTGGCCAAGGTGAAGTCAGCCCACTGAAGCCGACTTCTCTCTTGTTGATTACAACAAAAACTCAGGACAAATACAAACAGCCATACCAGAACTTTGAGAAATAATAGAGGTAGCAAATGAACTGAGAAAGGAGTGGGAAGGAGAGTTTCCCATTCTGTTCTGTTCAAAATTTTCCTCTTTTCTCTCCCAGCTCTGACTAAAGGGTGGCCCTTACTGCAGAACTGCACACGGGAGCAGGCAGAAAACTCTCAGAATCTTTGTGGCCAGGATATTGGGAAAAGTGTCCCTGTGTGGTTAAGAATATGGAGGGAATAGGCATTTCCCCACCTTTTTGTTGTTGTTGTTGTTGTTACTGGAGACCGGGTCTCTTTGTTGTTTGGGCCGGACTGCAGTGGCATCATTATAGTTCACTGCAACCTCAAACTGCTGGGTTCAAGTGAGGCTCTCCCCCCTTTAAAGTACTAGGATTATAGCTGTGAGCCACTGCACTTGATGATTTTTTTCTTTTTTAATCCATACCCTTGCCCAAGATGACCTTAGGTGCAGAACTCCACACTGACATCCCAGGGAACTAAAACTCCAAGAGACTTCCTGTCTTTCTGATCAGAATGATCAGGGATAAGCAATCCTGTGGTCCGAGCAGTGGGTGGGTATTGGATGTAACTTTTTTCCCTCACTTTCTTTTCTCTCTCCACTTTTCCCAAGGGCAACCCAGGTGATGCAAAATTGTGAGGCAGGACAATAGCCCAGGTAAATTCTGCGGAAACTCTGTCTTCCTGGACAGAGGACCTGGAAAATGCAAGCCAGCCAGTCAGGGAGGAACACAGAAAGGTGACAGCAGAGACAGGGATTCCCCAAAGCTTTGAGAGCTGATCTGACCTTGCAGCCACTGCTGGAAGAGGTGAGACAGAACTTGCAGGATGAACTTAATAGACTAACAGCCTGTTCAACAATCAAACAAAAACAATCACTTTTCCCCGGAGGATTTTAACAAGACCAGGTCTCACAGTATATTATGTAAAATGTAAAATCCACAATTGCTTGTTATAGAAAGAACCAGGAGAATGTGAACAACTCACAGGATAAAGATAATCAGTATTTGCCAATTCCAAAGTGATCCAGATATTAAAATTATCAAAGATTTTAAAGGTGTCTACTATAACTATGAGCCATGAGATCAATGTAAATACATCTGAATGAACAGAAATGATGTGGAATGAATGGAAACAGGAATGGCAAAATAGAAACTATGTACGAAGAATGAAATGGACACTTGAGAACTTAAAAGCCCAGATCTAACGTAAAAATTCACTGGATGGGCTCAAGAGCATAGTAGATGGAGAAAAGACTCAGTGAACTTGAAAGGAGATCAATATAAATGATCCAATCTGAAGAAAAGACAGAAAAAATATGAGTTGGGGCAGGGGAAAACGGCTCCTCACAGACCTGTGCGATGCTACCAAAGGCTTAGTGTTGACATTTTGGAGTATCAGAAGGGGACATGAAAGGGACCAGGGCAGACAAAAATATTTAAGGAGAGAATAACTTCAAGATTTCCAAATTTGAGGGAAGACATAGATTTTTATCCTCAGGAAGCTTCACTGAACTCCAAACAGGATAAACACAAATATAGCAACAATAAATTTGACAGAGGTAATGCATTTGTTAGTATTGTCTCTCTAAGTATGTCTATTTTAAAAAATACATCACATTATCCTTGGAAAATAGTCTTTCTGTCACTACTGACAACCCATTAGACAGATTATCTGAACTGGCCACCCTTCTGTTCTGCTCCTGATCACACAAACATGGCCAGTGTCTTGCCAGCTCAGGTGTACGGAACCTGAGGTGAGAAGGTGTATCTTCTCACTCATTGGACTTTTTTCATAGACATCATCACTACCACATTTTACCTGTCACTGGATAGGTAATTACCAATGAGAAATCATGTCTCAACTTAAAAGCTTTACTAGACCTGGTGTATCTTGTGTATCTTCAGCCTTTGGAATTTTATCACTGATGAGATTTTCATTAGTCCTGCTGGCAAATTCATCTGAAAATGCCTGAAAATACAAACATAGTTTTCACCATTACACTCTTGAACAAATTTGATTCATTAAGGCTTTTGACTCGGCATCCAAACGTACATATTGGGGAGAGCACAATTCTCAAACAGTATTAATTCATTGCAGAGTTTTCAAGTTATGTAAATAATACATATATTTTGATTTATACAATTGTGTGTTAGGAAACTTACCAAAGATGTGAACAAAGATATAAATACAAGGATATTGATTATGCTGTTCTTAATAAAATAATCAAATTCAAAAATTAAATTGTGAAATAAATTTTGGTATATCTTTGTGTTGGAATATTTATTGTTCATTAAAAATTATATCTTTAAGGAATACTTAATGAAATAGAGAAATATTCATTTTATACTATCAAATGAATCAAGATATTAAATTGCATAGCATATAATTTGATTTTAAGTGGTACATATGTAGGAAAGAAGACTGGAATAAATACAACTAAAGATTTTATGCATTTGTATTGTTTAAAGTTTTGCAGTGAACATGTATTACTTTCATAATCAGTAAAAGCAAAAAAAAACTTCCCTATTGTAAAAATTAGTGTTAAGAAAATTTTGTTGAAATAAAAACCCAAGTGACTGAAGACTGATACAACAATGAGAGAAGGACCCAGACAGGCAGTAAAGCAAAGGTCTCAGACTCACAGCCTCCAAGGGAGGTAAATTCATGTGTACAGGGGACTGAGTTGACTCTGGAGAACTAGAGAGCACCTGCCACTCAGTCACAGCAAACTGTCCCTAGCAGGAACCCATGTCCAACATACCAGAAGTTTTTGTTTGTTTGTTTTAGAGACAGAGTCTCACTATGTCACCCTTGGTAGAGAGCAGTGGCATCAAACTCTTGGGTTCACAGCAACCTCAAACTCTTGGGCTTAAGCGATTCCCTTGCCTCAACCTCCCAAGTAGATGGGACCACAGGCGCCCACCACAATGCCCAGCTATTTTTCTGTTGAAGTTGTCATTTTTGTTTAGCTGGACCAGGCTGAGTTCGGACCTGCCAGCCTTGGTGTATGTGGCTGGCACCAACTTCTGGAGGTGCCACTGAACTACGGGCACCTCCAGAAGTTTTGAATTGTTAGTTCATAGTGCATATCTGGAGTTTTATGTAAAATATGTTATTTTTAAATGTTAGCAACTATGGCTTGGCGCCTATGGCTCAAGCGGCTAAGGAGCCAGCCATATATACCTGAGCTGGCGGGTCTGCCAAACAACAATGCCAGCTGCAACCAAAAAAACTAGCCAGGCGTTGTGGGGGGTGCCTATAGTCCCAGCTATTTGGGAGGTGGAGGCAGGAGAATCCCTCGAGCCCAGGATTTGGAGGTTGCTGTGGGCTCTGATTTCCTTCTTAATCTTATCTTTGACCCAGCTATCATTCAGCCTAAGATTATTTAGTTTCCATGACTTTGTTTCACTATGAAGATTCCTGTTGCTTTGAGTTCAACTTTTATTCCATGGTGGTCCAAGAAGATACAAGGAATAATTTCTTTCTTTTTTTTTTCTTTTTATTTCAGGCTCCTTTATTCCATGAATATTTAAAGAACATCAACTATAGGCAAACCATTGACATAATCATTGAAGATAACATTGGGACAAATATATCAATTTTATGAGGAAACAAAAGTATTATCTACAAATCAATTATGAGATAAGTGTACTCATTACCACCACTCCTAGTAAAGTTGAAGATCCTAGCTAGTACAATTATGATAACTTAAAAATCCCAATGGTTTTAAAAAAAAAATACAAATTTCATTACTTCTGAGTTACCAAGTTACTTGCAAGTTACCAAAAACAATAGAAAAATTCAGCAACGTAGCTAACTTCAAAATAACTATACAAAATCAATTATATTTCCTATATAAAAAAGAATTACAAAATAATATTAGAAAAAGAAAGGTAGCATTGTATCAGCAACCAAAATAGAAAGTACCTATCAATATAGCTTTAACAAGAGTTGTGCAATTTTTTTTGAATACATAATCATTTACTACTTGTTTGTTACAGAATACATAAGACAAAATACAAATAGCAAACAAATTGTTTTTCCTTATTATGTTTTTACCAAAGTCTAAAAAAAAAAAGTTAAATTTTTTCTCTATCTATACCTTCTCGTGATCTTTGTCATGCTACAACCAATCTATACTACTTCCTTACTTTCCTGTATGGAAAATATTTCAAAAGACATGCAATTAGACTCATAGACATTTGAGAACTTTAGGTCTCAGTTTCCAGAATAATGAAAGATATCATACCTGAATATTTCCATGATCACTTGGGTGCAGTAGAAAGTGAACCTCTTGTAAAGTGGTTGGTTGATTCCTGCTACTAAATCTGAACACCTCTGAAATGATTAGTTCAGCAAATATGGTTTTAGGAAATCCTGAGTTTTCTGTTCCTATAGCTGGAAATGTAATGGATTTTAAGGACAAGCTCTCAGTGATCTCCAAACATTCTCTGATTATGTCTTCCATGACCTGAAAGGCACAAAGCACATCCTTATGTACCAAGAAATGCGAGTCAGAACAAAAAGAACATGGCTGGGATCTCTGCCTATTCCTTTTTGCTTTCAATAGAGATTAATGGCAATCAGAAAAGATAAGAATAATACAGGAAAAGAAGGGGGAAATGAAAAGGGATGTGAAAGCCCCTCTACAAATGACTTAAATTTGCCCAGTGATGAAGAAAAGAAGCAAAGCCACTGCTATTCTCTCCATTCTTCATGCCCTCATCTGACTTTCCTCACAAAGCGGGACATGTTCAATAATCCTTCCCTGAGCCCCTTAATTACTGAGCACAATAACTAACTCATATTATTAACTAGTCCTCAGGAGAAGTTAGCTACAGCCAAAGGAAATGGCCATAGTTTTGGAGCCTGCCAAACATATGACATCATTATGGAAGAGAAACCAAACAGGTCCCATCTATACCATACTGCAAGGAGAGTTCAAAGAGCTGCCAAATTCCCCAGAGAATTTAAAACCTGGCCCAACCTTTTGTGAAGACGTGTTGTTACTTCTCCACTCTGGAGCCACAACATGGAGCACGTGGTGGCAGTGCAGATTGCAGCCACTGGTTTGGAGTACTGTGCCCACTCTGATGGCTTTCCCTTGTCCAGCTGCGTCCAATTCCTTCTGGAGCTCTGGCCCAGCTTTGTCCAAGAGGGCCTTAGAAAGGGGCCCTCTATCAAGTGCAAGATCCGAGGAAATAGAGTTGACAATAACATTGGTCTTGAAGAGAAAAGCAAAAAGCTGCTTCAAATTTTGACAAAAAGCATTCATCAGAGATCACTGTGTTATAAGGCACAATGGGAGGCCATTAAGATAATTAAAGTTTCAGAGATGAAAATACCATCCCAAGACAAACTATTATTGAATAGCTATTTAATTGGCATCCCAGGAAAAAAGAGAGTTGTGGAAAAGCAATTTATGTGTGGTACAGGTCACTGAAGGGGTCCAGAGGAAGCCCCTTAGGTAGCTAGTGAAGGTGCCACAGGCGACGTGGCTCTCAGAAGTGGGAGTGGTTGCAGCAGACAGAGAAAGACCCAGGACAACACAAACATAAGCACAGGGTGCTGTGAGCAGAGGAATCTGATCTGATAAAGAGCTTCTGCAGCAAGGTGGTGCAAGCCAGGCTGGAAATGGTACAGTGCAGGTGGGCTGCATTAGGCCCATTTCCAGGCTCCAAGCTCAAGCCAGCTGGACTCCCTACAGACCATAAGCAGACATGGAAGCTGTTCCAACAGCCAGTGAACATGAGCAGATTAATCAGATGAGATTAGAGAGGCCAAGAAAAGAGAGAGAGGGCGTGTGACCAAGTGATTTCCAGAGGGGCCCTGTCTGGGTTACTGAAGACCAGTGCATAGCACTTACTGTGGCCGTGGAAGCCACACATCTATGGGAGCAAAGGGAGTAGAAAGAGCATCTTAAAATTCAGTGTGAGTACTGATCCTGGTCAAAAGAGATTTTTGCTTGTTTATTTGGTTTACTAAAATAATATGCAATTTTTTTTTAATATTTTGAAATAGTACAATGGTTAAGAGCCTGAACAAATTCCAATCCTGGCTCTACCATGTGTTACCTGGGTGACTTAAGCAAATGGTTTAGTCCCTATAAATCTCATTCTCTCCTCTATGAAGTGAGAATGATAATCATCCTAGCATCTGCCTCATGGCATTGAAAGAGAAAATGCACGTTAAATACTTAGCACATTGCCTAGCAGGGGACAACCACCAGCTGCGGTTCTTATAATGGTCACTGGCTTACTGTAAGAAGAAATCCAATTTTTTAATCTTCTAGTTCTGTATTTTAAATTAAAGCAAACACCATTTTAAACAAAGTAACAACTTGAATAGGGAAGGCAGACGGTTCACACAATAGAAGAAAATATTTTAAAATCATGTATCTGATAACGGACCAATATCCAAACTATATAAAACACTTAAAACTCAATAATAACAAGAGCAATAACCCAATTTAACAATGGAAAAGGATCTAAATGGACATTTCTCCAAATATGATTAGCCAAAAAGCACATAAAAGATGTTCAACGGAGGTGGTGCCTGGGGCTCAAAGTAGGGCGTTGGCCCCATATGTCAGAGGTGGCAGGTTCAAACCTTTAATCACATTACATGGGACCATGGATGGATGCTTAAAGATAGTTTTTCTTGTAAAACAATTCATATCAATACATTTGGCAGGTGTACTAAATCTAGTTCATTTCATTCAGTATCATGGAATGCTAACCTTTTGGTTTCTCTGGGCCACATCAGAAAAAGAAGAGTTGTCTTGGGCCACACAGTAAATACACAAACACTAACAAAAGCTAATGAGCAATAAAAAGGTCCTTGCATAATTTTCAGGATATTCAACACCACAGATAAGCAAAAAAGTCCTCACATAATAATCCTACATATCCAGTGGCCTGTTCAGAGTGTCCTTTGAAATCATCAAGCAGGTCCTACATTTGCAATCATTAATATAGGAAATGTATATATCTCAGTAATAAAATATTTTTGTTTATTTGTTTGTTTGTTTTTTTAGAGACAGAGTCTTACTTTGTCACCCTCAGTACAGTGCTGTGGTGTCACAGCTCACAGCAATCTCCAGCTCTTGGGCTTAGGTGATTCTCTTGCCTCAGCCTCCTGAGTAGCTGGGACTACAGGTGCCCACCGCAAGGCCCAGCTATTTTTTTTGTTGCAGTTTGGTCAGGGCTGGGTTTTAACCCACCACCCTCAGTATATGGGGCCTGCGCCCTATTCGCTGAGCCACAGAAGCCGCCCTGTCTTTGGTTTTGTACGGTATATTTGTTGTTGTTGTTGTCACTGTTGTTGTTTTGTTTTCTGAGACAGAGTCTCACTTTATGGCCCTCAGGAAAGTGTTGTGGCATCATAGCTCACTCTTGGGTTCAAGTGATTCTTTTGCCTCAGCCTCCCAAGTAGCTGGGACTACAGGCACCCACCACAATGTCCAGCTATTTTTAGAGATGGGGTCTCACTCTTACTCAGGCTGGTCTCAAACTGTGAGCTCAGGCAATCCACCTACCTCAGCCTCCTGGAGTGCTAGGATTGCAGGCATGAGCCAACTCTCCAGGGCTCTTTGGTTGTTTAAAAATAATTTTTTTTTATAAAAGTAAAAGAAAATTGAGCAACATAACTACTAGTTTATTTGACCTTGTATTTGAGAAACAAATGCACCAGTATCTGATTTGCTGGAAGTAGCTGAAATTCTTAGAGAGTAATCAAGGTGCCAATCAGGTATTTTGGTTCTAGTTTCATTTGTAATGTGCTTCATTCTTGACAACAATTGCTGGAAAATGCAGGTGGTGCCACAGCCAGTCTACTTGCTCAAGTCTTCTTAGGGATGGCTCCATGCCATTGTCTTCAACTTGGATCAAAACAAACTTCTTTAAATTAAAAAAAAAAAATGTACAGTGGTGCCTGTGGCTCAAGGAGTAGGGTGCCAGCCCCATATACCGGAGGTGGTGGGTCCAAACCAGGCCCTGGCCAAAAAACACCAAAAAAAAAAAAAAAGTAGGTGCTGCCAAAAAGCAATGACATGAAAAGGTATGTCTGTGAAGCAAGGGATATCAGGGAAGATAGGACCTATAAAAGACCAGCAAAATGACATGTTTACATTTTTCTTTAAGTTGAATGTCAGATTGTAGTTATATGCATTCCATTTGTATAAGGGTCTTTATCTAACAAATGCAATCAATGTAACCTGGTTCTTTGTACCCTCAGTGAGTTCCTAACAATAAAAAAAACAAAAGAAAAGAAAACTAGTAGGTAACATATTTATTTCAACTGAAAATGGAGTCACAAATGCACCAAAATATTGATTATTTTCCTAGAAAGCTTGGAACGTCTTCAAATTCTTGTATCAAATCAAAAAGCAAGGCTGCATATTTCTCACTATTCATAGGACTGTGTTTAGCCAACATCAAAAATGCATAAAATTGCTTGCCTTAGTTTGAGCTTGACATAATTTCACTTTCATTTGGAGCCGTGTTATGGTTTGAAACACTGTATTGATAAGCTGGTTTTCACCTTGAAGATACAGGTTTAACTCCTTTAAATGAGCGGTTAAATCCTCTAAAAATGTAATTCATTTTCAAGTTCTGGCACAAACTTGGTATGGGGTACCATAAACAACTTGATAATGTGTGGCAAGTCATAAAATCTTTTCACTATTTGGCGTTGACCTAGCCAGCTTACTTCCAAAAAGTAAATAATGTTGGCATAGTCATCATCAGTATTTTTAAGGAATTCCTGAAACTGGAGATGATTCAGTCCCTTAGGCCCTTAGGAACTTCACAGTCTTAATGATGATTTGCATGACATTATCCATTTTTAAAGCTGTCGCACATAAATTTTCTTCATGTGCTATGCAATGATACTTCATCAGTGTGAGTTTGGGGCAGCAATTGTCCCAATGATAATTTCATAAGTCCCTCTCTTTTGCCTACCATTGCCAGGGCACCATCTGTAACTATACCAGGTGTAGTGACGATGGACAAAGAACATCACTTCAACATAGTTTTTACTGCTTAATACAAATCTCTTGGTTTAGTTGTGTCTTTTAATTGCACTAAAGAAGCCATGTCTTCAGTGACTTTATAGTCATCATCAATATGACAAATTTGTAGCATTACTGTTATAAATTTAATTCAAAGCATAAAATTTAAAATTAGCAGCTATACTCTCCAAATTTCTTTTGATAGATTTTTCCAATTTTTTCAATTCACCTGGCTATACTAGTGAGGCAAACTGATTTTAGAAATATTCTCTAAGTAGAAAGAAAGAAATATTCTTTTTTCAGGGCAAATTATATTTGCCATGCTTTCTATGCTTAATAAACTCACCATTGGTAAATGGTTTTGAATTTTTCTTTCTTTTTTTTTTTTTTTTGCTATTAAATATGCTACCAGAGAACTAGCTTTTACCATGAAATCTGAGTTATAATTTTAAAAACAATTTTTGGTCAGAAGACAGACTTTTTATCAGTTCTGCTATTTTGTCCTTACAACATAATCCTTTATACCCATTGAATTTGGCAGCAGATTTTTACATAAATGCCTTTTCAGATTATAGTCTTTGAAAACTTGGACAAATTCCCTACAAATAAAGCAAAGTGCCTTACTATTTGCCTTGATTAAAAAGAAGTAGGCATCTGTCCACTTTTCATTGAACAATCTTCCTTCACCCGTAATTTTTCTTTTTGTGGTATCTGTTTTCTTTTGATACTTTGTAGCAATCATGGGATTAAAAAACTAACAATAGATAAGGGACTGTATTACTTTTATTATGAAAATTAATTGATACCACCCAGGGACACCAAAAAAAAAAAAAAAGGAAAAGAAAAGAAAATTAATTGATAAGAAAATAGGAAGTAAGTTTTGGCCCTTCCCATATCTTGGCTGCCCAGGCAGGGCGAGGTGGAGGGCTGATTGTAAAGCGTGGGAGGATAGGTGATGTGTAAGGTGTTTCCAGGTGTAGAAGTGCCCTTAATTGTCAAAGAAGAATGCTTACTTGCCTTCTAAATAATACTAAATACCTAATGTTGCATTTGGTAGATGGTAGATTGGTGTATTATTGATAACCACTGTCTCACCAAGTCACCATGAGCAAACGTAATGTCTGATGGTGTCAATTCACTGCCTGCACTTGGACGATAGCTCACTGGAATTCACACACTGCTACAGAACTGAAGCTACCCATGGGTACAAATATGGAGATAAAGTATGTTTATGTTCTATGCCATTTCGACATGACATTGTTGTACACAAAGTTCATGCTCAACAACCATGCAATCGAGTTCCACCAAAAATCTCATAATGTTT